AGCGAAACAAAGGGAGAGCAAGGGGAAATGTAGCAGCGAAACAAAGGGAGAGCAAGGGGAAATGTAGCCCCCCCGGTGCTTTGGACCTCGCCGGATGGCCCCTACTTGCCTCCAATCTGGGCCCGATAAGCCACCCCGACTCCGCACACTGTGTTGTTAGCCACTGCCGCTACTTCTCCAGCACAGCGTGTCCCATGGCTGCCAGCAGGAGGAAAGGGAGGAGAGAATTCATAGACACTACAGATCGATCCCAGAGCTGCTGTGAGGAGCAGAGGCTGGTGTGTAATTGCCAGGGCTGTGCTAATGATGGGAGGGGGGTTCCAGCTCTAATGCTTCATGTGCCTTCCACAGACACTACCTCCCATCCATCCAGTTTCTAACCTCTTCATCCAGTTCAGGGTTACAGGGGGGCCAGAGCCTGTCCTGGCGAGACACAGCTGCAATGGTGGCAGGATATTGCAGGGGGACACGCACACACACGCACACCAGGGCCACATTTCACAGAAACCAGTTAACTTGTCAGCACTGAGCACCCAGGAGAAACCCACGCAAACCTGGTGAGAACATGCAAACTCCACACAGATTGATCCTTCCATCAATCGTCCCTTCCCAGAGCACCACCTTCTACATACAGGCGGAAAAGCAGTGAATTTCCAAACTCCACCCTACCGGTTCTCGTTGTCTGTGGTGTAGCGAGGCTGGGGGTCAGGATCATCGTCATTCATGTCATAGCTGGCCTCAGGGTCCTAGAACACATGGGAAGCTATTGAACTGTGTGTGTGATGTCCACAGCTCTACCGCTACTAACTAACATTATCAGTTTCTGAGGTTGAAAGAGTAAATTCTACTGTAGCATCAGGCACTATACTAAAAAATAAAATTGGATATATATACAATTTTATATGTGTTTGTAATTTTGTATGTATATATAACAACTGTTATGTATACAGTGCCCTCCACACTTATTAGGACAAAAAGTGAATTGAACACAAAAGTGCTATTTTTCAAGAACAGCTCAACATAAAAGCACAAAAATACCCACAAATACAAGGTGACATTTAGTACTTTTTCCTCTTATTCATCATTTCATCTCAAATCCAAACTGCTTGAGTGTACAGCAAAAAGAGCCATTTTGACTTCACTCTCCCAGTCCCTGCAGAGGGAGCGCATTACTGAACGAATGGTCTTCTGCAATCCTGCTCCCTGGCAGACTCACGTAATTGGCAGCGAGATCCGGGTGGCTCTTCTCGATCCCGTCGTCCAGGATGGACACCACCACCCCCTTCCCGGTGTAGCCCTGCGCCCACGCCGACACCACATTCAGCTGGAAGGCCTCGCTCTGCAAGACAGAGCCAGACTGTGGCAGGGCCGGCCGGGGGCGGGCCGCCCGCTGAAGGCAAAACCCGAACACACCTTCAGAGAGGAACCTGGAAAGCCTGGCGGTCGCCAAGATGTCTTTTGGTCGGAGACACCGAGAGATCTTTGCGAGTGCGTGTCCGGGGGTGGGGGTACTTAGACCGGTGAGGAACAGAATTTGAACGTGAATAGAAGTCAGGAGGAGGAGTTTATTGCCACCTGTGCATGTGCATTGGAGTTCTTATTTGATCTCTCGGGACATACAGTACAACAGACAACACCACACAATGTGGACTGCACATTACACACACAATAAGTGTCAAAGAAGTGTGCAGACTGATGGAGCCTACATACCAGGTACCACTGCTTGCTGAAGAGGGGGTCAGTGGGCAGGTGAAAGGCATGTCTTCTCTGTCGCACCTTCCCAGACTGCTGCTCATGCCACAAAACCTGGGAAACGGCCAGTAGGAGGTTGAGGATGGGGACAGTTACTGGACACTATGAATGCATTTGAAGCACTCATATGGAAGAAATGTATTTCAGTTCAACTCAACTACCATTATCCCCTGGTGGAGAACTGTTTCATGGCACAGTCCAATACAACAAAAACAGATTAACGTTACCCACAAAGAAGACAGCACAGTACTGTTTAAGACAATAAGAGTTACTTTTCATTGTTCGTGTGTAAGCTTTCAGAGGGGCTGTCTGTTTCCATGGCGCCTTCATTGGGGTTTGCTGTTGCTCTCCTTGTTTTACCACTACAAGATTTTTCCCTCGTTTCCCTTCTCAATCTGAAGTGCCAGACTGTTATTCAGCCCTCTCTTGCGTCTTCAACGCCTGGCCTGGGCCAGAAATAATTGTGCCCTGGAGCTGAGTCTTCACCTTGGGATCTCGTTTCAGTTGAAGATTACGCAAGTGATGCTGCTTCGATGATTTTGGTGCCACTGCTCCGTGCCTCATATGGTAGTAGTGGCCATCTTCAAACACCTGGAATGCAACAGGTTACCCTTGTTTAGGGAAAAAGAGAACGTTCTCCCCAAAATCTAAGTGGATTACATCAGAACACGGAACATGAGAGTGGAGAACAGCTTAGGCTGACAGTGTTTATGTGTCTGATTGATAGTAGATTATTACAGATACTTAAAGTGCATACTGCTCTTTCTAGATAACGAGACACAAAATTGTTGAATTATTTTTCACTCCAACTCAGGATACTGGCGTGCCTCCTGCTCATAGTCCAGAATCCACTCATTCATTTTCTAATTACTTTATTCAGTCCAGAGTCATGGGGGAGCCCGAGCCTGTCCTGGCAAACAGTGGGCACAAGGCGGGGTAGACCCTCAAACACAGACAAACACACTCTCACACCAGGGCCAATTTTCCCAGTAGACAATTAACCTAGCAGCATGTCTTTGGACTGCAAGAGGAAACCGGAGCGCCTGGAGGAACCTGTGTGAATCCGGGAAGAACATGCAAACTCCACACAGATAGCACCTCAGGAATTTATCCAAAGGTTGCAGCGCTGCAATGCAGCAATGCTAACTCTTGCACCTCTGTGCCTCCCCTCAGTCCTACATCTACATTTCATTTCCTTTTGTTTCACCTAGTCATGGCGTCCCTGTTAACAATACCGTATAGATTCAAAATGAAACCGAAAGTGATGCATATAAAGATATTTTACATAATCTTACATTTTAATTTACTGTGATTTTCGGTATTTCATCAACTGCTAGTTGTCTAGACTGTACTTTACCCTAAGAAGGAAATAAAGCTTGTAAAAGACCTGAAATGTTAAAGTTAGACCGATTTTAAAAAGTGGATTTATTCAAAAGTTGAAGTACAGAACAAGAGGGATAAAAAAATACTTTTACCTTTCCAAAATTAACGAACCCGTATTTCCTTGCAATCTTATCGGCGTCTTCAGGCGGGCCTTGGACTCGAACAGCCCAGGTACTGGTGTACGAACCTTCAGCCAAACAAACGGTGCTAATTAATACAATGCTCAAGTAATTACTGAAATTAGGATACATGGAAGATGTAATATAGATTCATATCTCGTTAACAAAAAGAAAACTGCAGCACACTCCAGTGAGCCACATTACTGAGGTTTCGCTTTCTGGTGGGAAGTTTGTTACAGTTTTTGTTTGACCAGGGAACTGCTACTTTTTAAATAATTACGTCAACTGTTGTGGTTCAAACGCAACAGCATCGACGTAGCGGCGTTAACAAGGTGCTTACAGAGTGTATTTTCCCCCTAAGTAACTGCTATTTAAATCATTCTCAGAAAAGGTCGAGATTTTTTTTTAAAAAAAATTAAAAGAAGGTCGCAAATGTTAATGCTACTGGTCATGTTCAATTTAAAGCATCAGAACTTTTAATAGTAGCGGAATTTGAACGTAATCACGGTAACCCCTCGCCAATCCACCGAGACTGCTGTATGTGAGGGTCAAAAGTTTTGCTTTGGTTTGGGAGGAGTTGGAAAATCTCCCGAGTCACAGCCAACCTGTGCCGTCTAAACTCTAGAAAGTAAATTACCCCTCATGAATAAATGTAATCTATTTTAGTATAAGATACTAAAATAACAAAGGCCATATCTAAGCGTTTTAGTACTTTAATAGAAATATCATTCATTTCATGACTATTTTAACAATGTATTTTATTATTTTCATGTGTAATTGTGTATACATGAAAATAATAAAATATGCATAAAATTGTATAACTGTGTGCAATGACAATTTAGCACTTTAAAACGTAATGTAACACAATTTTACAAATCAACGATCATTTACCAAGTTTAGTTACTGTGTATAGATAAGATTGGGAAACGTCTGTCTTTTAGACATTTGTTCTTCAGATTACTAATACTCGATTTGTTTCTTTAAAATGTTTCGTTTCACTACAGGGAGACAAAGCCAGCACAAAAGGATATTATTCTTAAGTGATGATTATATTAAAGCGTGTTTCGTGCACCGACAGCTGTGAATGCACCGGAAGTTTTTCCTCTGAATCCCTTTCAAGATGGCGGCGTTGGTTGGTAAGTAATGTTTTGAATCTGAATTTAAGTAAGAATAATCTTTCTGAAGATTGTGACAAATCTTTATCAATGAGCCTTTGTATGTGGTTTTCCGGACTTGCAAGGCATACGTCTGATCGGACGTTAATGTGTTGTATTTTGTTTTAATTTTGAGCTGTAGGTCCATCTGACCTTGTGAGTTACCGCTGTCCTACTAGTTACCGCTGATCGAAGTGCGTTTTAATTCTTATACGATATTGCCAATTCGTGTATGATATGTGGAATGTGGAATAAATAAATCATGAAGAATACAATTATAAAGCTTTTAAACCGGTATCTCTCACATTCAGACCAGACCTGCAGTACTTATGTCACGTTATAATTATGTAACTTGCTATAGCCAGGTGTTATAAGGAGTTGAAAGATTGTGAAAGTGTCGTGATGGTATCTAAATTATACCGGGTGGATTTAATTTATACATAGGAGATGCTTCAAAATTAATGTTTCTGCACTCTATAATTGTATGTTTTTATTTTAGTTCCTCGCCTGTCCAGATTTGGGTCGTTTGTACTTAGGTAAGAAATAAAATTGCCTTCGTCATTGCTTTAACTTTTGTTCAACGCCTTTCTTAAAGATAGCGTGGCTTTCCATTCGACCTGATTAGTAACCACAGGACACATTCTTGGTGAAAATGGAGTTTGATTAGAGGAAATTCTTCTACTGTATTTAGTTACCTCCTCCCTTATTTAAATTATGTTGTGAATAGATGACTTATACTAAAGCCTTGGAGCTACAGCTGTGTTGAGGATAGAGGGCTGCAGAATCCAGGCTCCGACCTCAAAATGTCCCAAAGCATTGTATCCTTGTAACCAAAGACCCTGGCTTCCTTGATCTCCAAAAGAAGAAAAATATAAGGGTTCACAGCCCCTGGACGTATTTGAACGCATTTATGCATTTATCACAGATACACATACATTTGATCATGTGTTCTCTGGATGTTGTCAACAGTATTCCAGAAGGAAGATGCTCTTTAGACAAGCTTTAGAAGGTTCTGCAGCTTTAAAGAGATGTTTCGGCAATATCAACAGTAATTTTTCTAGAGCTTAATGAGTGGTGAGGATAGCCTCTGTTTCTGTTTATTTCTGATGACTTGCCTTTTACCTTACAGGCCTAGTTCAACTTTTGCACTTCAAGCCAAAGCTTTGCATCAGAGCCCAGCAAGTGAGCATGCATCCAGGTAAAGCACATACAGGGACAACGAGAATCATCTACTTTTGGTTGTTCTCATTATATTTAAATGTGAATGCACCAGAAGAAGGCTTCACTGTTGATTTTTGTCTTCCTGCCTTTTGTGTGTGGATTGAAACTTTTAAGATTATTTAGATATTATAATTTTCACATTTTGACATTTAGCACCATTATCCACCATTAAGCACCGTTTGCTTGCTGTGTTTTGATTATTGTGTGAATAATAGATGTATAAGGCAGTTACAAGGTATGCTAAAAAAGAACAAGCATGAACTCATAATGGTTTTGGTGGTTTATTTTGGGTTTTAGTTTACAATAGTTTGGATTTTGTCTCTGTACTGGAATCCTGCCCTATGCTTTGCTTAAATACTTGTGATGTTGGCTAATGTGTGGGAATATTTTTTTTTAATTTTACGTCTTTTGTTTAGTTTTCAAAATCACAAACAGACCTCCATATATCTCTAGGCCTTGTTCATAGTACATTACCCACAGTGACCTACGGACTTGTTTGGATGGTAAGAGGGTTTTTTCATTTGCAGTGAGGTACTAGCCAGACAGAAGAGCACTGCAGTGGAACCTCTGAAATCGTCCTTACCCAGCAGCAAAGGAGAGTATGTCATTACCAAGCTGGATGACCTGGTGAACTGGGCCCGCAGGGTAAGTGCTTTGGCATGATACAGTTGTTCTTCCTGGGACTTCAGTGCTGGTTTTAGTGATGCTGTGTAGTAAATACTGTTGCTACTGTTCATTAACACAGAAGTAGGTTTGAGAAAAGCATCTAGAATATGTTATAGCTGTGATTTTATTGGTAGCAGAATCACAAATGTGCAACATACCCTTTTAAATTAGGTAGGTTTTTGAGATGCCATGATTTCCAGTCACTGCAGCAGTTGACTTTTCTCGTCTGCAGTGGGCATCTGTGGCAGTAATCAGTTCGATGTTACAAAGCATTAATTTGTAATAGAAGTTAACAAATTAGAGACAGCTAATGGATGGAGTAGAAACTAATCCTTGAGTTTGTGCCGTATGATCTCTTTCTCCCAAATTACAGCCTTTTATGAGAAGTTCCTTGGAATTGCACCTAACAAGTGTAGCTATAAGAGAGGATCTTTAAGAATTTCTCTAAGAACTTGCAAGGCTATGTGAAAGAGGTGATTGTAATGTGGTGTTGTGAAATCCACCCTTTTTAAAAAGTCACCGTAGCGTCTGTGTCCCTCAGAGTTCCCTGTGGCCCATGACGTTTGGGCTAGCCTGCTGCGCGGTGGAGATGATGCACATGGCCGCTCCACGCTACGATATGGACCGCTTTGGCGTGGTGTTTCGGGCAAGTCCCAGACAGGCTGATGTCATGATCGTCGCTGGGACTCTCACCAACAAAATGGCCCCTGCTTTAAGAAAGGTGCTCCTAAGCTGATGCTTTGATGACGAATCGTGTCCGCTTCAGAATTTATTACACATTTTCTGTCTTGCCGTGCCGGTAACCCTTCTTGTTTTATTTTGGCCGATATGGATAGAGTTGTTACACGCTTGAAAATGCTAGCTAAGCCCTCTCAGTTTAAAAACGCTTTGTAACTTTTCGTTCTGTGACAGTTCTTTCATTTCTGAGGTCAGGTATGGTTTTGCAGTTTCATTCAGAGCCATGCATTCTGAAAATTGTATTGTGCTTCAGCCAGCTCCTCCATAATACACCGAGGGCTGGCTGTAGTGTTTTCGTTCAGTTCATTGGAAACTGTCTAGTCCACAGTGTTACAGATGCTGTGGCATTGTGACACTTTTATAAGTGCAGAGCTTTTTTTTTACCTCTATAATAATAATCTCTATATAAATACATAACATGTGCTCTGTCTGATGTGACCTTAAAAGTCACTCAGGTGTTGCTGTGGTGTGCATTATGACTCGGTAGCAAACTCCCAAGTCCCTTTTTGTTTATGTGAGCTTTCAGCTGCTGAGAAAATAGACTCATGCAGCCAGCAGTTCACATGTGAAAAGCTGCTCAAACCTTCTGTGGCTGCTCTGATCTGTACTTATGATTTCTGGGTGAAAGTTGATGCATTACTCTTAGTAAACCTCTGAGAGTTAAAATGTACAAATCTGAGAGTTAAATGAGCTTTTAAAGTATGAAATGTCCTTATCATTTAGTAAAACAAATTATCTCCAATAAAGATCCTAATAAATGAGAAACAGCCTTTCAATACCCTGTGTACCAAAACAGTAGCATTTGAAATGCATTTGTTTTCTCTAGGTATATGACCAGATGCCCGAGCCCAGATATGTGATATCAATGGGAAGGTAAGGTACCCCTTTTTCCCAGCACAAACTGTACATTTTGTTAAAGTGAAAACATTTTTATTTTGTAAGTCTGAGTTGTAACTGGACAAGACTGAAACACAATTTTAGATGAGGGTTTCATTCCCAAAAGCAGAATTGGTGTCAGTGCTACATGCCTAAGTGTCTTATTAGGGACTCTGACCCCACGTCTCCCACCTCTTTCAGCTGCGCTAATGGAGGAGGGTACTACCATTATTCATACTCCGTGGTCCGAGGCTGTGACCGTATTGTTCCAGTGGACATATATGTCCCAGGTGAGCTGGATTTTATTTTTTTTTATATAAATGCCTGATTTGGAATTGCTACTTATTTAAGACCAGCTCATGGGTAGGGCTCCATAACGCACAGGGAAAAGACCTGTGGACATGTTTCTCTGGCATGCCAGTCTAGCCCTGATGTTTGGATGCTAGTTGCCCATTTATTCCATGATCTCATCTAGCAGGTTCTTGAAAGAAGTCAGCGTGATCAAAACCCATTGGGGAAAATTAACCTTGAATTGATCTAGTAAACCTGACTGGGAGGCTTGTTCTAGACCACCACAACCATTTAAATAAAATGTTCCTCTTTTTCTCGGTTCTCCACTTGTGCTTTGTGGTTTGTAATTGTGATTGTGCAGAGATCCATGGGCTTGGCTTTTTCAATGCCTTTGGGGATATTAAATTCTTCAAGGTTCCCTTCATTGTCTTTTCTGTTCAAGACTAAAAATGTTGAGTTCTTTTAAGCCCCAGGGTGCACAAGTCCAGTCCACGAGGTCCACATTCTAGACAGTTTTCATTCCTACCCCTTGGAGAATTGGCATATCTGTCACTGCTGGCACCAGTGCAAAATTACATGTGTCTGACAAGTTACCGGTGTCTCTATTTCGCCAAAAGCCAAGCACAATCAGAGCTAACGTCTGCTTTGCCACTTAGAAAAACCCACCCACATGTGGTTGTTGACCCAGGTTCAAAATGGGTGACGTCTGAGTCACAGGGCTCAACGTCCACTATGTCTGGACACCCTTGAAGGGGTCAGGGGGCATTTTCTTTGTTATGGATCAGATAAAATAATGTGGGTAATTGGTTAGCATTTTAGGGTGGGATTGACTTCACATGGTAGCTCTTGCAGATAGAAAAAAAGAAAGGCTTGTCTTTTATCGATAGGTCTTCGATATGTATAAGACATAACCTTTTCTGAAAGTGGTTACTGTAATGCACACTTTAACAGTTATGAATTAAAAATAGCCAGTGTCTGACAAGACGAGATCCTGAAGCAGGTGGGGATCAAGTGTGAGCTGTTGTCTCTTTGTGTTGGTGTGCAGGCTGTCCCCCCACAGCCGAAGCCCTGCTGTACGGCACCCTGCAGCTTCAGAAGAAGATAAAAAGGGAAAAGAGAATGAGGATCTGGTACCGCAAGTGAGGAAAGATCAGCCGTCGCACTGACTGTACAGATCCCTATTTATAGGAGCATGTTGAGAGCCTTTTTCATTGGGGAGTCTTGGAGTTGTCTGTTCATAAAATTAACAAGACTGTCTGCACAATAAACTATGGACCCTTATGTGTGCACTTGTCTCTGTGTCTGAGTTACAGTTACCGCTTAAGCTTTATAATGCGTCTATGATGAGGGGTATTCTGGAAAGAGTCTGCAAGGCCCATATTGATACGAAAGGAAAACATTTTTAATGCTGGTGCATGATTGTTTTTAAAAGATCCACATTCAAAGATGGCAAAGTTTAACTTTTTATTAAAGTTCTTGAATACAACTTAGAAATCACAATGAGAAACATTTCCAGATGTATCGAGTGTTTTTGCAGAAGACTGGCCATTACTGAAATGACTTAGACGTCTGTTGAATCCTTTTGTCAAACAGCTTTAGGAAAAGCCATTACCCATGTGGAGTGTGAAGACTAGTATTTAGTGTTCAGTGAAAGGGACTTTTACAGATTTGGCTGTGGAACTAAATGTATTATTGCAAGACATGCAAGGTGGGAACTCATACCTTGTTGTAAAACTTGTGTTTTAAGTTCTGCCTCCTATGAATGGATGACAGGGTTTAACGTGTAGACGAGTATAATTCATGCACAAAAAGGTTTTGTACATTTCTGGGGTGTGAGATGAGGTACAGGGGAAGATGAATTTGTACAGGAACATACGAAAGGGAATGCACAAGGAGTGTTTTTAAAGGTGGGAGACAAGACCAGAAAACATCACTCATGCTTTTCAAACGCATGTAATCTGGACAGCGGAAGAGACATAGTGCTGTAGCTTCTTCTCAAGGTGGAAGATGCACATTCTGGTCGCCAGGACACGGCACTCTTATTTGCAAACCGATGGTCAAGTCCAGTCCGTTATGGCTAATCGTTGGACAGGCGTTTGCTGTGGGCGTGGGAGCAGATGTGGATGAGGTGTGGTTTGCGTCTCTGCCCCAGTTCACTGTTTGATGACCGTGGGTGTGATCATCTTGCGGAAGGCGTAGTACTTGCACTCGGCCGGGGGGACAATGTCCAGCAGGCTGGTGCTGATGTTCTCCTTCTTGAAGCCGGCCTCAAGGAGCTGGGGCACCTGAGTCTCCTGGGAGAGAAATGACCACGGGCAAGTTCACCATTGGCTGTCTGCATTAAATACAAGAGCGTCTTAGGCGGAGTTGACTCCTTGTTTGAACCCTGTTGTCACGGCTACAAAAACTGGCCTCCACCCCACCTTAAAAAAAAAAAAATGGTGGTGTTGTAGAGGCAAGCAAGACTGGCTATTCAGGGGTCAAACTAGTGTCGTTTTGTTTTTTGGTAAGTTGCTTTAAGTAATCAGTGGTTATAGATGCTGGAGTTCAATTTGGTCCTTTCAAGCAGAGAAGCAAGGGCCTGAGAACTGGAACAGAATGAACATACAATGTTTGCGTCTAATTTCTGTGGGGAATAAAAGACAGTAAAATGCATTGGGGGGTCTGCAATCAAGAACACTGTTCGCAGTGATGTTTTTGCTTGGACTTGGGGGGGGAACATTTTTCAGCTTTTTCACCTGAAACATTTTCTCAATGTCGTCGTACTTGGTCTTGAGCAGTTCACCCCAGGATGTCAGGTTGCAGTATGTGAGGACGCCACCAGGCTTCAGTAACCTGTGGGCATGTCCCTGTGGAGCGAGACAGAGGACAACATCAAAATGTTTTTAGTCAATCATGTAGATGCTCATCTTAGGAAATAGTCAACCTATTAACATGCTAAGTAAACTCAGATTCCAGGTTGTCTGTGATGCGCCAAGGGCAGTGAGTGGTGCCAACCCCATGGCCATCAATAGACACAATTCTATGGATTTTATAGCTGTCTAGAATTACTTACTTCAGGTCTTGCGATTACATAGAAAAAATTGTGGATTATTAAAGTACTACAGAGAGAATGAAAGCAGGGTGGAAACATGGCCCTTGGAGTTTGGAAATGAACACTGCTGGTTCACTGGAGTTTCTAGAGTTTATACTGCTAGAATTTCGAATCTTTGGCTAAAGAGAACCTAACGTTTTAACTTTCCTGGTCCTGGGCTCAGAAAGCACCTAAGCATTTTAAACAATGTTAAATAGAGTGTTTTACACCTAGTAAGCTGCATCTGACCTTAATGAAGTTGAACTGGTGAGTATGCCAGGTTTCTTCAGACAGGGGATAAGTGTCGTAAAGAATTCCTGAAACAGAGACCAGATGAGATGCATCACATTCACAGTCCACCCATGTTGAGACACTGTAGCAATAAACAGTAGAAAGTTGAACTCTGAAGCTCTGCCTTTTATTACAGCACACTCTATTAATTCTGTCAGGAAAGCCAAAAGTGGAAAGGAGGTTTCAGCTTGAAATGCTTAGCTTTGTCTAGAAACAAATTTGAAATATATATATTTTTTCCTTCCATCCATTTTCTAATCCACATATCAAGTACAGGACTGTGGGGGGGATGAATCCTATCCCAGCAAGCATTTGGTCATGGGTTAACAAGTTCAGCATGATCAATGAGAGCAAAGCACTAAATGGGAACACAGGACAGATGCCGCAGTACAGATCTCACCATAACATAGGTATAAAATTGTAGTGTAGCAAACAGTGCATGTTTAAAATGAAATCAAGTAAATGCAAAGTAGCTGCCCTTACCAACATATGGACGTCCAATCAAACAATAATAGCGAAATTCACATGATATATACTGGTTTGGCATTAGGGATTAGTTTGTCTGGGACTGTTAAGATACCCACTTGAAACTAACCCCTGCCATTTTGTGCTGCACGAGACTGTTGATTGAAACGGAGAAGCACCATAAAACGAGTCTCTTACCATCAAAGTGTCCATCAGGCAGTGTAGGGACGACCTCCTCCCACAACCCTTTTAGAGGAACGACCTAAATTCCAACATATATTGAACAGTTATTGAAGAATCCATGGCAACAGGTTTCCAACGATAACTTTCTAATTATGCGGTTTTCTCACCTTGTGGGGCTGTATCTTGCCCCACTCCTGCAGTCTTTGGAAGACCCCATCATTGCACTCAATGACCCAGTGCTCCTCTATGGGGAAGGACTCAATCTTGGTTGCTGCGATGGCCATTCCAAAGCCAATCTCCAGGACCCGCCCCCCTGAAAGTCACCACAGAAGCAGTGCTGTTGTGTGTTGGCAGCATTTCTGGTGCATTGTGGGTTTTACAAGTCAAAAGTGTCAGGAAAAGCACTGCGGAGAATCACCCTGGTTTCCCCACTTTTCTCTCCCCTGCCCTCTGGTAAGCGCTACATGAGCATAAAGGCACATACCTCCAGATTCAGAGACACAAGCTGTCAGACTATTGATTTCTACCTCTACCACTGACTCACCGAGGTCTGCTTGTGCAGACTTTTATTCAAGTTGTATGTTATTTAACTTTGATGTTGCTGCTGTTCTGTGTTTGGCGTTTCTAATGTCTTAATGTCTTTGTACTGGAGCACACGTGCAAATAAGCATTGCATTGCACTTGTGCATTTGACAAATAAACTAAACTGTTGCTCAGCCACGGGTTAAAACCATCTATTTATGAAATAGCTGCAAACGAAAGAGAAAGGTAACCTGATCTGCATGCAGCATTTATCAGTGCCCATCTCACTTCTGAAAAGTAATTAGTACACATTCCTTCATTCCTCGCAAAAAAACCTGTCTCATGCATCGGATCATCTTTAAATGCGTAATCTTTCATGCAAAAAACAATGTGAGATCACATAGCTGCTACTTTAAGTACCAACATGTGACC